ATCGATATATCTCTACATGTATGTAGATATATCTATTGTTGCATTCGCACGGGTATATAAATATATATATATATACATATATATAGACATACACACATCTACCTAAATGCCCAGCTGTATGTGCCTCTATCTCTCCATATATATAGAGGTACATATGTATACACATTGATATATATATATATATGTATTCATGTATGGTTCTATCTCTCGATCTACATATATATACATATATGAACATCTTGATCCAACTATATGTATCTCTCTACCTGTCTACCAACCATCGGGACAACCATCGGGACAACCATCGTGAGAACCATCGAAACAACCAGCGGGTCAACCATCGGGACAACCATCGGGACAACCATCGGGACAACATCTATCTATCTATCTATCTATCTATCTATCTTTATATCTATCTATCTATCCATCTATATATATATATATAGATCGATCGATTGATATGTCTATCTATCTATCTATCGATCTATCTATCAACCATCGGGACATCCATCGGGACAAACATCGGGACCACCATCGAGACAACCATCGGGACAACCATCGGGACAGCCATCGGGACAACCGTCGGGGCAACCATCGGGACAACCATCGGGACAACCACAACCATCGGGACAACGGTCGGGACAGCCGCCGGGACAACCAGGGGCCACGCCCAGCGATTGGGGGGGGCGGCTCTTTTGGCAGTAGATGGCCTCTACTTGTATGGAACTCGCGCAGCTTCGTCTCGCCCGCACGTGCGACACGAACCGAAACCGAAACCGATTTCCCGGTTGGGGTCACTTCCGTTCCAACCCCCCAACCTTCGGAGGTGCGCTCGGATTTCCTTGATCTACGCTGGGGCACCCCTGGTCGCGCCTCTGGCGCCGCCCCTGCCGCGCGCCGCGCGCCATGGAGGGGGCCCGATGCAGGTCTAAGAAATCCGTGCTGACTCTCGAAAGCTCATGGTTATGCTGGGTTATTTTTCTCTACATGGACTCAGCTGGGGACGCATCGACCCCCCTTGGCTCATTTATCGCCAATAGGGACTCGATAGCCCCACCCGCCACCTCGGCCAGAAGCGTGCGGATTTGCTATCGGGGACATGTCGCCGATCTACTGGCGATGTATCGCCGATTCCAGGTCGATGCTTTCCTCGCTGAGCCATTCCCCCCCTTAACGTCGCCCCTTTGTCTACCTGAGCGGACCCTGCATGACTTCAGATGTCCCTGGCGACGTCCAAAAAGGCTCGCGAGGTTCGGGCGAAGAGAACTGTGCATGCATCGGCAACTACAATGGGTGTAGTTACGCCAGGGTGTCGTTCGCGATCGGCACCGTTGGGGCTTCGGGGCCCCCTGCGCTGCGCCAGAGGCCGGATGAGCCCTCGTCGGGGCGCGGCAGAGATCTCTGTCGCGGTCCTCGCCCGCTCCCCCGGGCGCGGGTCGCAAACCGCACCCTTTGCACATCGCACCCTTCAGAGTCGCCGAACGCACACCGATCCCGGCCAGGCTCTTCCTGGGTCCAGGACCTTTGCACATGACCCTCTGGCCTCGGGGCGATCGAGATGGGTACGGAAAGAAGAGGTACGATACCCAACAGCAGTTCCTGTTCATTTTGAAGAAGACCCGCTGTCCGCGCCGCCGCAGACGTTGTTCACTGAAGACACAAGGCTGCCTGCCCAACAGCGGCCGTTGTTGATTTTGGACAGCATTTGCTGTTGGGCACTGTACCCCAATTTTTCCGTACCCAGTTCAGGCGTCGAAATGGCCGAGCCAGGAGGGCGCAGAGACCAGCCTTTGCGCCCAGGATGGGCCCGGCCAGGACCAGCGTACAGTCAAAATTGGTATAGTGAGGATGATCGGCCTCCCAAGGGTGAACCCTCGCATCCTTGCTTCGTCGGTCATCCTCGGTCCATCCTCGACCGCTTTCGATGGCCAGCTCCGCTCGACGAGCCTCGACATGGGCGTCTAAGACCCTTGACCCAGAGAGGGAGGAGGAGGAGGAAGAGGAGGAGGAGGAGGAAGAAGAGGACGAGGAGGAGGAGGAGGAGGAGGAGGAGGAGGAGGAAGAGGAGAAGGAGGAGGAGAAGGAGGAGGAGGAGGAGCAGGAGGAGGAGACGGAGGAGGGCGCTCATCCTTCCCATCAGTTTTATGCCTGCAAGTGCGCGCGCGTGCAGAGCCTCCCCCCCCCTCTCGCCTCCGGAGGGGGTCGGTGGTGGGAGCCTGCTACCTGCAGCCCCGCGAGCGCAGGGGGAGAGCGGCAAGGGGCGGATATCCCCCTCCTCATCCCCTCCTCATCCCTCCTCCGACTCCTCCTCCTCCTCCTCGCTCCTGGAGGGGGGTGGTGGAAAATCCGTAGGCGTGCGGCGGTCATCTGGCAGCGTTTTTGTGCTCGTCCGTGCCGCTGCTCGAAGAAGAAACAACGCCACAGACATACTCTTTTGGCGCTCCGCGCGGATTTCTTTGGGGGGGGTCCCGCGCGGATCCAAGAAGTCCGCGCGGAGCGTCAAAAGTTTATGTTGGTGACGCTTTTTCTTCTTCTAGCTGCGCGGGCGGCCTGTGCGGCACGCCCCCCAGTGCGTGACGATCGGCGAGCGCTTCCGCAGCCGCGCCTTCACGGCCTGGATTCGGCGACCTCCATGATCCGGTTGACTCAGAAGGTGGTGGTACAACAGATGTGGTGCACTAGATTTGAGGGGTCGAGGTAAATTTGTGGTGTGCACTCGATTCTGTTGCGCAAATGTCGAAGGTGAGGGGGTGAGATCAAAGTGGAACGGAGAGCCCCCCTACCGGGAAATCGGTTTCGGTTTCGTGTTCGTGCGTGCCGTGCGTGCGGGCGAGGCGAAGCTGCGTGGGCGGGCGAGAAGAAAGTCTCCTCCGGCTGAGGCGCGGCCGGACCAGATGTTTCCTGTCCGGGGGCCGGTGGCGCGCGGTGTCCCGCCGGTGTCCCGCCGGTGTCCCGTCGGTGTCCCGTCGGTATCCCGATGATGATGATGATGATGATGATGATGATGATGATGATGATGATGATGATGATGATTATCATTATGATGATGATGGAGATGATGATGATGAGGATGAGGATGATGATGATAAGGATGATGAGGATGATGATGATGATGATGATGATGTCGATGAAGTCGATGATGATGACGATGATGATGATGGTGATGGTGGTGATGATGATGGTGTTCCGATGATGATGATGCTGATGATGATGATGATGATGATGTTGATGATGTTGTTCATGGTGATGATGATGATGGTGATGGTGATGGTGGTGATGGTGATGGTGGTGATGATGATGGTGGTGTCCCGATGACGATGTTGATGATGATGCTGATGTTGCTGATGATGATGGTGTCCCGATGATGATGATGATGATGGTGGTGGTGATGATGATGGTGATCTTGATGATGTTGATGATGATGAGATTATGATGATGATGGTGTCCCGATGATCATGATGCTGTTGATGATGTTGGTGCTGATGATGGTGTCCCGGTGATGATGATGTTGATGATGATGACGACGATGGTGTCCCGATGATGATGATGATGTTGATGATGAGGCTGATGCTGAGGCTGATGATGAGGTGATGATGATTTTGATGATAGTGTCCCGATGATGATGATGATGCTGATGTTGATGATGATGATGGTGTCCCGATGATGATGGTGATGATGATGATGATGGTGACGATGATGATGGTGTCCCGATGATTATGATTTTGAGGATGATGATGTCGCTGATGATGATGGTGGTGTCCCGATGATGATGAGATTGATGATGCTGTTCATGATGGTGATGATGAGATGATGGTGATGATGATGATGGTGGTGCTCCGATGATGAGGATGATGGTGTCCCGATGATGATGATGTTGACGATGATGATGATGGCGACGATGATGGTGTCCCGATGAAGATGATGGTGATGATGATGTTGATGATGGTGATGAGGTGATGATGGTGATGGTGTCCCGATGATGATGCTGTTGATGATGATGATGTTGATGACGTTGGGGACGATGATGTTGATACTGATGATGAATTTGATGATGATGATGATGATGATGATGATGATGATGATGATGCTGATGATGATGATGATGATGATGATGATGATGATGAGGATGATGATGACGACGTTGATTGTGAGATCGATTGTGATATCGGTAGTGAGATCGATCGTGAGACCGAATGTGAGATCGATTGTGAGATCGATAGTGAGATCGATAGTGAGATCGTTTGTGAGATCGATGGTGAGATCGATAGTGAGATCGATCGATTGAAATAGATCGAGTGAGATCGATTGTGAGATCGATCGAGTGAGATCGATCGAGCGAGACCGATAGTGAGATCGATAGTGAGATCGATAGTGAGACCGATCGAGTGAGACGTTGGTTCCTCCTCCCCACCCGAGCCTCCTTATCACCCGAAGGGTGGTCGTATAGATATTGTTGGATTTTCGCGTGCAAGGCATTCGGTGAATGCAATACACATTCTCTGGCGCGATACATCTGCTATACAATCGCCCATATCTATTGCACCACCCCCTTTCAACTGGACCCCCTTGTGGGTCACGAGGACACAAGGGTGTGGTTACGGCGGGCACGACGCTGGCCTCGTCGGTTCTCGGGGCGCGACGGAGAGCTCTGTCGAGGTCCTCGCCCGACCCCGAGGGTGCGCCCCAGGGTGCCGGTTACAAAGCACACCCTCTGCAAACCTTCCCATTCGGAGTCGCCGATGGATTCTGGGTTGCGATCCCACGGATACGCGATCGCACGGACACGTCCCGCGCGGGGCACCCGCGAGAAAGCGCCTCGTGTCCGCGAGGTCGCGACCCAGGGGCTCGGCCCGCGATGCCGCGGACGCGGATACGTTTTTCGCCCACGAGTCCAGCACTTCATCCAGCGTGCGCGTTCGCCGCAGCACTGGCTCGTCTGGGCACCCCTGCGGCGGACCCCACTCGTCCCATGCCCCTCTCGCTCTAGTCGCGCCCGGCCCATGCTGGTGACCGACTCCATCCTGGGCGGCCTCGTGGTCCTCTCCCCGGATGCGTCCCTGTGCACGCGCTGGCGGGCGTCGGACGCCGGCTGGGGCGTCTGCCTCGACGAGCTTCAGGCTGGCAAAGAGGAAGAGGTTGGATAGTTGGAGCTGGTTGGGGTCTGAGGTGGCCCAGCATTGGTTCTGGCGAGCAGGAAGGGGGTGGCCAGGTTCGAGGTTCTGGGTTCGAGAAAGTTCTTGGCTTTTTGTCGGTCCCCGTTGGCCGTTTTCGGGCCCTGGGACGAACACAAATGGACGGATCCTCCTTTACGGTGGAAGCCCATGTCAAGAAACACCTCCTTGCCTCCAAGCTCTGGGTTTCTTGGGTTTCGATTGCTTTGTTATAGACAGCGTGACTTTCCCACACCAAAAATCAGTGGACGTCCTGGGGTCTCAGGGTTGGGCTTCTTGTGGAAGGTTTCTTGTGGTCGAGCTCTTACTGTATTCCCACCTGGTTGATCGATTCTCTCGAGGTCCATCCAGCTCAGACCCCCCTGCCGCCTCCAAGTAGATAGTAAGCCATGGAAGTTTCCGCCCGTCTTGCATTACATCCATAACGGCGAAAAGCGTCCAATAGCGCGCGCGCCGTCCACAATAGCGTTGAATAGCGCTCAATATCTCCGAAGAGCTCCCAAACAACGCCCAATAGCACCACGCGAGGGAGATGCGTTGCGTCCGCTTTGCGCGCTATAGGACGTGCTATTCGGCGCCATGTGGACGACTAAAGGCTTCCGTGAGTAACTCGCTAAAGGCTGTTTGATGGAGACAATGTTTTCAATTTGCACTTATCTGACCGGCCCCGCAAGACTTGTGCTAGCCTGCGAGTGGCCTTGCTGCGAAAGCGCCCTGGGTCGTAAAACTGCTGCGGACTAGCACGGACGGAGCGGACAAATCCTGCCCCCCCACATTCGCTCGGCGTGCTCCCTTGCATCTGACGCGACAGTGACGGCACGTAGAATCACCACCACCGATCCCAGCCTCCAACCATTTTCTTGGCATGTGTGCATTTCTTCTCGGCGAGGGCCATCGAGGAGCATCCTGGATCATCGAGCCAAACAGACGCACGAAACCGATGGACGTCCGAGCGATGGCGAGTGTCCCGCGGGCGCCCGTGGTCGCCACGCGGCCGCCTCGCGCGCCCTCTCGCGGAGGTGCAATCATCGAGGACAAAGTAACATCCAACCCTGATGATGCGATGAAGACGTGGCCTCACTGAGGCAGTCCCCCTTTTTCGCATTAGGGCTGCTACACATGGGCCGTTGGGTTCGATACATCTGCAGCAGGGACCCCCCATCCCCACTGTTCCCAAAGGGTCAGGAGTCCTTCTATTCGAGGGAGGAAGCACCACCCGGACCGGACAACTGGCGTTTTACAAAACGGCCTTGGGCGTTAAAACCCTGCCCTGTTCGATTCCTTCGCTGGGTGCGCTTACTAAACGTCCTCGCCTGTCGGGGTGGTTGTTATGGGGGGGACAGTTTTGCCTGATACTGATGCCTAATCATGCAGGGGAGGGGGGCCCCGAGCCTGGAGGCGCCCACTGGGCCCAGGGGCCTTCCGCCGGGAGACCTCCTCGCCCCGCGTCGCCTTCCGGCGGCCCTGGGGGCGCCTTGTCGGGTGTTGCTAGAAGTGCCCCTGGCCCAAGGCGCTCTCAGGATCTCCAAGGAGGCCCTCACGGCCTGCACAAGGGGGCAGGGGGAGGGGGAACGGCTTCTTAGAGGGAGGCGCCAGCCCTACATCTACAGACAAGGCTCACGCCTCTTAAGAAGGAACCGCCTTCTAAGAAGCCTCCCCCCCTCCCCCTACCCTCCTCAGCGCTTGGCCGATCTTTTCCTCTGGTCCTGGCTGCCCCCGACCTCAGAAGCCCACCGCTCGGGTGTTGCTAGAAGTACCCCTGGCCCAGGGTGCCCCCAGGATCTCCAAGGAGGCCCCCGCGGCCTCCAGAGCACCCCTCACGAGGCTAAGCCCCACGGGCGCCAAAATGGAGCGAAAAGCGGGGGGTACCTTACAAACGGGGGTCCTTCAGAGCGCCGGATCTTGCGGGATGCTGCAGGACCAGGGGCGCACTGACCTGGGCTTGGGTGCAGGCTCCTGCAGGATCCTGCAGGATCTTGCAGGATCCTGTATGGGCTGACAGACCTGGGTTCGAATTGACTCCCGGGGTGCGACAAATGGAATGAAGGGGGGCAGCGAGGGCTACAGAAAAGGTGCCCTTAAGGGCTCCTAAAGGGGCCCTTTCTGGCCCCAAATGGGGCCATTGGGGCCCGATAAGGGCACCTTTCTCCCCTTCCTATTTGACGCCCCAAATTGATTCACGCCCCAGGGGTCGGAGGATCGCGCCGCACCTCGGATGGGTTCCTAGGCCTCCCAGATGGGGTTCGAGCAGATGGGGTCGGAGGATCTCGCCGCGTCGCCGATGCATTACCGATGCGGCTCGGTGCGAAGCCGATTTTCTCTACGCCGACGTCGCCGATGCATCGCCGACGTCGACGATGCATCGCCGATGCATCGCCGTTGTGTCGCCAATACGGCGCGATCCGCCGACCCCACCTACTCGGACTCGGACCCCATCTGGGAGGCCTCTAGCCTGGCCAAGGGGCGATGGGTGGGCACAGATCTCGCAGGCGGGCCAGTTGGGACAGCGCCAGTCCCGCCCGGCCCGCATCCGCTCAAGATCGGTCCCCAGACCCCTGCAGGGGTCCATCCGGACCCGGTTCTCCAGACGGAGCCAGCCGTGGCGACGCCTCCAGGAGGCTTGCTCCGGGGCGGCGAGCTCCGAACTTAGGGGAACAAAAAGTGGCATAAGCATAAAAACTCGGAGGTCCGCGCGGATTTCTCGGATCGGCGCTGGGGCCCCCCGACGGCGCCTCCAGCGCCGCCCCTGGCGCGCTCCGCGCGCCAGGGACCAGCGCCGACTAAGATATCCGTGCGGACCTCCGAGTTTTTATGTTTATGCCACTTTTTGTTCCCCCAGAACCCTACCCTCACCCATCAACGGTTCAGGGAGCCCGATGGGCGGCGGGGGCTGGGTTCGGAATTCGTAGAACACGTGGCGAAATCCGAGCCCCACCCCCGCCCCTAGGAGAACCGATGGTTGGTGGGGGTATGGTTCGGTCGTCGCCACCTTCTCGCTCAGGCCCAGGGTTCGGCGGCGCGCCTGCGGTGGAAGTGAGAAGGAGAAGGCCTTCTCAGCAGGCGGCGGGGCTTCTCAGAAGCCCTCCAGCCTTCTGATAAGGTTCTGTGTCTCCAGGGAAGGCTTATAAAACTCTTCAGATGGCCGGAGGCCTCCCGAGCCTTCCGAGAAGGCCCGCCCCTTACGTCTTCCCCGCCCAGCTCGCCGCCGAAGTAGACACAGAGGGACAGGTAAACGCAGACACAGGTAAGCGTAGATCTCCAGGAAGACATGGGCCAATCTGGGAGACAGAGGGGAAGACGATCATCGACGGTCGGTGGGTGCAGGGTTCGGACGTCGCCACCTACTCGCTCCGGCCCAGGGTGGCTGGTCGCCTGGGGGAGGGGGTGTTTACGAATAGGGGAGATCGATAAGAACCCTCCCCCGAGCAGGGGACGGATGGGGAGAGAAGACAGAGCTGGCTGGTGAAACCACCTGCGTCCAGTGGGCTGGTGGGACTCCTCAGAAGGCCGGCGGCCCTCCGAGCCTTCGACGAAAAGGCCCGCCACTTCTAGAGATCCGATGTCGTGCTTCTCTCAATGCGGGGTCTCCGGAAGAGTCGACCCGTTCCCCAGGACCGGTTTTTCATCCCGAGTCGTTTTCTAACTGTCCTGGGGCCCGGTGAGGGCCCCCAGAGGCCGAAATTTGCGAAAAAAGTCCGTCTCGATTTTGTCATAAACGCTGGATCTCGGGGCTTCTCGCTCCCCCACCGGGCTCGCCGCCGAAGGCTGGCTGCGTCGCGTACACGGCCGCAGCCGGCGATGCCGAGGGGTTCGCGGCGGCGATGTCTGCGCACGGCTGCGCTGTGCACGCCCTGGGCGCCAACGCGACCGGCGCAGCGGCGGGGGGGCCATGCGCCAGCGCTGCCTGCCGCGCAGGGGAGCCCAGAGGTCAGGAGGGGAAAAATCACACGGACAATGAATCGTCGACTCGCAGGAAAATATTGGAAAATATGGGAAGTGGGGGGGAAGACGAAGACCCAGAAAATGTTGGGAAATATGGGGAGTCCTGTTATTCGTGTCTATTTGTTTGTGTGTCCCAGGGCCCCTTCAAGAGGCCGCGGCGCAGGCTGCTGGCGGGGCTCACCAGGGTTGTGTCGGGCATGCCCCTCTAACGAAGGAATCTTCAAAAGTAGTAAAACACATCGGGGGATTCTATATTGTTGTTTTTGTCATTGCTGTTCTTGATTTCCCTTCAAAGTCTGCCTGCAGGAGCACACGCCCGACCTGACACCAGGGGGTGGCTGGAGGGGTCATCGGGGCCTTGGCATCGCTCGGACGTGCGCATCTTCATTCGGGGCCTTCTTGGGCCTCCCGTGAGCTTCTCGTGGCCGAGGGCTCGAAAAATGTTCGGTCGTCTTTATTTGTTGATGGGCCTGTTTCCACCACCACCAACATAAGTTGGAGGGGGGACGGAGGTGGAGGATGAGGAGGAAGAGAAAGAGAAAGAGGAGGAGGACCCCATCCCCCTCCTACTTATGGTGGTGGTGGTGGAAAACAAACCCACCACTCGTGTTCCCGTGTCAGCCTTGGGGGTCCCTTTGGCCACCCTGAGCCGTTTTGGGCCTTTCTTGGCTGCCTGGATGGCCGCCTGCTGCCGTCGATAATGGGGCTCTCTGGGGCTACCTTGGGTACCCCTCCCCCCCCGGGAGACCTTGACATCGCTCGGACGTGCGCATTTGTTCGGCGAGGACCATCGAGGAGCCTGTCGGGGAACCAAAACATGCACGGGGAACGGACGTCCGCGTCCGAGTGATGGCCGGGGGCTCAAGAGACTCGGGTCAATGCAAACGGTGGTCAGTCAGAGCCAGAGCCCCAGATCTTGCAGGATGCTCCAGGGCCAGGGGCGCAGGATCCTGCAGGATCTTGTAGGATCCTGCAAAGCCTGACTGACCCGGGTCTGCATTGACCTGGGTCAGTAGATCCCCGAGTTCAATGGGCAACCACAGGGGGGGAATGGGCACAGGGGGGGGATGCATCGACCCCCAATCGCCCATTGGTCGCCGATAGGGGCCCGATAGCCCCAACCTGCCCAGGAACCTGCGGGCGAGGGGTCAGGGGCAACGATCTTTCGCAACGAAATGCTTATCCCGATCCCTCTGCGGGGTAAGAGTCTCGCAGGTTGCGCACAGTTTGTTTGGAGGCGCGCGTGCGCCCTTTGCACAAACGCTGGCGCACCTCGTTGGGGGATGCTGCAACTCGCCAGACCTTGGGATTGGGGCTCGTCATTGTGCTGGGGAGCGCGGAGCAGAACGAGTTGCGCCCGGGCGCGATTAAGGGCATTAGTTCGAGGATAACTATTCACACATGTTTTTGTTTGTCATTGTTTTGCCTCGCGAGAGGCTTCCTTGGGGGCGGGGGCGCGCCAGGGCACGACGTGTCTCGACAGCGCGGGCGTTCGCAGGTCTGTGGGGGTCAGGGGGTTTGTGGCTTGTGGGTAATGTTGTTGTTAGTTCCCTTGGATTTGAAGGTGTTAGCCCCCAACCGTTGGAGACACATCCGCTCGGGGACGAGTTCAGACAATTTGGGGGTACCCTATCTCGGCGGCTTTCTCCCGGAAGGTTGCTGCGCGGGCTGATCTCGTCCCGTTGGATTGACTGATCGCTCGTATTACTTGTACTTCGGCTGTGCGGTAGCCATTCAACAGTTAGGCGGACGAGTCATTGGCCCCATTTGTCTGCCAGTTGATTGCAACGCGCGCGCCAATACAGTGTCTCTTGGGTGTAGTGACCTCACATTGCCAGACGTTGGCCGAACTGTTGATGGAATGGCTTTGCCATCGTAGTGTAAAACAACCTTATCCGCGGTGGGCGACAAACAACCCTGAACAAGGGTAGGGGGGATATTTCCCCACGCAGATAGGGGGGGAATAGGCACGGAGGGGGCGCATCGACCCCCAATCGCCCATCGATCGCCAATACCTGCCCAGGAACGTGCAGATTCATCATCGGGCGGCGCCGATCGCCGGTCAATCGGCGATGTATCCGCAGATTTCGTGTTGATGTGCCCCCCCCTATGCCAGTCCCACCCTATCGTTGCCCCTTTGGGGGGAATCGGGGGTTGCTAAAGGTGCCCCTGGCCCGAGGTGCCCCCAGCTATCCGCTCCATTCTGAAGCCCCTGGGGCCGTCTGGGCCTCGTGACGGGTGTTCTGGAGGCCGTGGGGGCCTTCTTGGAAAGTCCTGGGGGTACTTTGTGTCAGGGGCATCTCTAGCAACACCTGAGCGGTGGGCTTCTGAGGTCGGGTGCAGCCAGGATCAGAGGAGGAAAATATCGGCCACGCGCAGAGGGGGTCAGGGAGAGGGGGGGATGCTTGTTAGAAGGCGGCTTCTTCTCAGGAGGCGTGGGCCTTGTCTGGAGATGTATGGTTGGCGCCTTTTAAGAAGCAGCCTCCTAAGACGCCTTCCCCCCTCCCCCTGCCCCCTTGTGCACGCCGCTAAACATACTCTGATACTGCTGTTTTCCTTCCTTCGGCCTCCTGGGAGGCCCTCGTCGGCACCGCTGGGTTCGCATCGAAGTCCTGGTCAGAATGCCCCCCATGCAAGGTCTGAGGAGTTGCGGCGTCGGCACATTCTGGTTCGCCCAGAAAGGGAAGAGCGGGCTCGGGACGTTCGAAAGGAGGGCTTCTGGGCGATTGGCATGGGTATGGAAAGAAGGGGAACGAAGACCGACAGTCGTCCGCTGCCCCTGGGGAGCAAGGCTCGCGGTCGGTGCCGCCGCGGGCGTTGCCCATGTGCGAGACGGGAGACCGCCCGCCCAGCAGCGCCCGCTGTCGGCAGCTGGAGAAAATTTGCTGTTGGGCATCGCGCCCCTTTTTTCCGTACCCCCTCCAGGCGTCCAAAGTGGTGGGCCTTTGAGAGCAGGGGCGGCCAAGGAAGAGGGGGTGCATGACTTACTCTGGATGGGGCATGTATCAGGGGTGGGTGGGTGAAGGACTTTCAGACGGGGCTTGCCCACCCCCCACCCTTTCTCCTCCTCCTCCTCCTTCTCCCTCCTCCTCCTCCTCCTCCTCCTCCCTCCTGCTCCTCCTCCTTCTCCCTCCTCCTCTCCTCCTCCTCCTCTCCTCCTCCTCCTCCTCCTCCTCCTCCTCCTCCTCCTCCTCCTCCTCCTCCTCCTCCTCCTCCTCCGCCTCCTCCTCCTCCTCCCTTTTCCTCATGTTCCTCGCCCGCGCGCTTCTCCTCGCTCCGACAGCTCGTGCCCAACCACCCTCGCGGATCCAAGGGGGGACGATTATTGATTGCACCATCCAGAGTTTGGGGGGGATCTCATGGCAGGGGTCATGACATCTCCCCGGATTTCATTGGCGCCTCACGCCATGATTTCACGCCAGCTCATCCCCATAGTGATATCCATGTGATTATTCGACGCGCATTGTTTGTTTTCATTTTTTCGGAATGCAAAATTATATTGTGGCTCGTTGGCCCATGCAGCGCGCGACGTCCGTGTTGGCGCTATTGCATTGCAGCGCGTTGAGTTTGCCTGGCCAGGCTGAGCAACAGCCAGCCGCCAGGTCGTGGGGCAGAGAATGGGGAGGTGGGGAAGGAGATGGCTTGGAGGGGCACAAGATGGTGGGATTGAGTTCGGAATGTCAGTATCTCAATGCAGGGAAGGGTTTCGACTTTCATCCAATTCTGTCAGCACGGGCCTGACGTCGTTCTCATGCTCATACTCGGAGATCTCCTTGGGGTTCTTCTGGGGCCCATCCCGGAACCGTGTCACCGTGTTGTGGCGAACGGGTTGTTCTTGTCAGTTGCCTGTCGGCTCAGCTTCATAGCCTCCTATGTCGGAGGTTGATAGACCTCCTACCTTGACACGTCGATCAGCGAATTGGCCGTTTTCGGTTCGCGAGAGGGCGTCGCGGCCGTCATTTTTGCGGGTCCAGATTCGTCGGTTTCGGTCCTAGGCCGTTTTCATTGAAAGGTGGTTTACTAAAGGGAGGTTTAGGTTTGTCCACCGCCGAATATTGAGTCTTCGCAATTCCAGACGCCGAGATGCCTTGTGCTCAGGCAGCCAGGCCACCTTAGCTTCAGACATCCATGCAACTCTGACCTCGGAGGTGCCCTGCTCCATGGTGGTCTGGTTATTTTCGCCTTAGGCATCCTCCCAACTCTAATTTCCCAGATGTTCCCTGAGCTGAGTTAGTCAGGCCACTGTCGTGTGAGAGGTCCTGGCAACCCTGACCTCGCAGATGCCGTACCCCATGGTGGTCTGGCCACTTTCGCTTGAGACATCCTCGCAACTCAGGTTCCGAAATACTTTCGCCTGAAGTGATGTGGCCATCTTCGCCAGAGGCACCCTCGTAACTCTGAGTTCCGAGATGCCTTGACTTGAGGCGCAAATAGTTCTTGCAGGCTTAGATCTGTGCATCACGGGGGGGGCAGGTGTAGCACGATGTTTCTCTGAGCCCCGCGCCACTTCAGGAGGGGTTGGAATATTGCGCCTCGGTCCCGAAGTCCTTGAGGGGCTGGTCCAATTGTGGCCCCCGCCGCCTGTCGAGCACTGATGCCTGCGATCTGAAATTGTTAGTCGGATTGTTTTTTTTTCATGCGTCGCCCGTCGACCCCCCGCGGGCCTGCATGATTTGCAGCCCCCCTCGTGGGCGCCCCCGATGAGAGGGCGGGCGGGGCTTCCGCGACGGCGTCTTGGAAGCTCTGGGCCTCCCAACTTCGAAGAACGACGAACCGCACACGCATCATTTCTCTGGGGTTGTGGGCTTGTTTTCTACCGCCACCACCATAAGTAGGAGGCGGAGGGGTTCCTCCACCTCCTCTCCTCTTCTTCCTCCTCCTCATCCTCCACCTCCTTCCCCCTCCAACTTATGGTGGTGGTGGTGGAAAACAAGCCCATCATGAGGTCCGCGCGGGTTCCTTGGATCGTCGCGGATCTCCGAAGGTTTGTGCTTGTGCAGTGCTCTGTTCCTCTATTGGAGGCCCCAGGCTTCTCCCAACGGGGCCCGAGCGGTGTCGGAGGATCGCGCCGCATCGACGATGCGGCTCGATGCAGAACCCGATGTTCTCCGCGGAAACGGCGCCGATGCGTCGCCGACATCCCCGCTGCATCGCCGATGCATCGGCGATGCACGGGCGAGGCCCCAGCTTAAGGTCTCCAGAAGCCCTATTCAGAAGCCAGGCTGGCAAACCCGTGGTTGCTAAAACGGAGCTCTGGGAAATTGTTCTTTTCTTCGGGAAGCAGCCCGTTTACTATTTAGATCGCTGAGTTTTCTTTCAGAAATATGTTTTTTTTCTCTTCCGGGAAGATCGTTTTAGCAGACATGGATTTGCCAGCCTTCGCCCAGCTTCCGACCCATGGCCTTCTGAGAGGGTCCCCTGTCTTCTCCTCGGCATCGTTCGGACGTCTGCAGTTGTTTGCCCTCGGCGAGGACCATCGAGGGTTGAGTCGTGCATGTCCCTCTACAGGAGGCATGTTCAAAAATAGTAAAAAAAAAAAAAACAGTCAGGGGACGATTTTTGTATTAACATTGTTTTGACTTTTTGGGATTATTGTTGTTGGTATTTATATTTTTTCGTTCAAAATCTGCCTGTAGGAGGACACGCCCGACTTAAATCCAAGGGCACCCTGCACCATCTTGCGAGAACATGCACGCAGTAAGCCGAGCAATGCCCGGGCAGTGGACGCCCGAGCCATGGCGAGTTTTAGAAGCACCCCCCCGGTCTGCTCGGAGGGCCGCCCCCCCCTCCCCCCCCGCACCGCCCCCATGCTATGGGCGCCGCCGAGGCTGGCCGCACGAGTGCCACACCCCGTGGCTGTGGACTGCGGCGGAGGTCGTGCGGTGCGCGAAACCTGCCACGCGCAGAGGGGGGTAGCGGGAGGGGGGAATCGAACGGGGCTAGGACGAGGATAAGTCCGTTCCAGAGCGTTCCGGAACGCCTTCAGAGCGTTCCAGAACGTTCTGAGAAGGCCGTGGCGGCTGCGGCACCGGATTGCAGAGATTCTCGATTTCCCCCCCGAAATTATCCTCGTCCTGGCTTCTTCTTAGGTGGCGGGAGGGGGGGAAGCCTCTCTTAGAAGCACCCAGGAGGCGCGGGCCTTGTCTGTAGATGTAGGGCCAGCGCCTTCTCAGAAGTAGCCTCCTTCTAAGGAGCCTTCCTCCCTCCCCCTACCCCCTTGTGCGCGCCGCCAACGAAAGTCCACTGCACTCGGAGGCCTAGAGGTTGACACCAACCCCGGTGTTGGCGATTACCTCCGCAGAAAGAAGGTGGTCCTGGATCCCCAGACGTGCTCGCGTCGTGAAAGACCGCGACCCCTGGTTCTTGGCAGTTTCCGGTTTCTGGGGGCCCATGCCGGGCCCTGGGACAGAGAAAAAAGGGTCAGAACGAACAAACGGCCTTGGGGAAGGTGTCAGGACTTCTGGGGACCCCGTTTTGAACAAATCAAGATATCGCATGTCTGGGTCGCGGTGCTGGTGATACTCGGGCTTCTCAGATGGCCGAGAGATGACCACCAGCACAAAAATCCACGATCGTCTTCCCCAGATGGAGGCACCTCCCTGTTTTGGTGTTGGTGCCAATTTTCCAGGCCCCCCAAACACGCAAGAGTGAGCCTTCGCCAGAGTGGCCCTCGGTGCGGGCCAACTGGCTCCCCCGCACCGCTGAAAAGCGGTGAGGAGGAGGAGGAGGAGGAGGAGGAGGAGGAGGAGGAGGAGGAGGAGGCGGAGGAGCAGCACCTTTTGCGTCCCACGCCCGACCAGCTTCTGCTGAAAATCGATCTCTGGGCCCCAGAAGGGAGTCCGGGGCCCCAGCCTGCCTCTCGCCCCGGCTCGGGCCCTGACGGCCCTGGGGGCCACGGGGGCCTCTGGACGCCGAGGACGACGCGGTGGACCATCGAGCTCCGAGGGGCCCACGAGGGGGCATCCCTCGCTATTTCTTGGCCTCCCAGTCGGCGGCTACAGAGGGTATGGTTACGCCGGGGTGTGGTTTGCCATCGGCGCCGTTGGGGCCTGGGGAGCACGACGCTGTCCTTGTCGGGCCTCCTCGGGGCGCAGCGGAGAGCTCTGTCGAGGTCCCCGCCCGCCCGCCAGGGTGTCCCCCAGGGTGCTGGTTGCAAACCACACCTTTTGCAAGTCACATCTTGTGGAGTCGGCGACCCAGATTCGAGTAGGCAATCGACTACAGAATTGATTCACACCCAAATTGAAATGTTCGTCGAATCTGCGAAAACATAAAAAGACGGAAAGTGTTAGTCGATTTATTGACGTGTTACGTACTGTCGCTGATTCAGCGAAATTATTTTGAGGGGGCATCCCTCGGTACATCTCGGCCACGCGCAGAGGGGGGTAGGGGCATGGTGCAATGCTGCTTAGACGCACGCCTGTTTCGTAGAAGGCGCGGGCCTTCTCTATAGTCAAAAGATGCCAGGCAGGCGCCTTTACGGAGCAGCCTCGTTCTAATAAGCACCCCTCCTCCCCCTACCCCCTGAGCGCGCCGCCAAATTTCTGGGCCTCCCAGATCGGGCCTGAGCAGACGGGCTCGGAAGGTTGCGTCCTATCGCCGATGCATCGGTGATGCGGCTCGATGTGGAGCCAGATTTTCTCCGCGCCGCATCGCCGACAATGCATCGGCGATGCGGCGCGATCCTCCGACCCCATCTACTCCGACCCCGACTGGGAGGCCTTTAGTACACTGGGCGCGGGGCGCACGGACTGGCGGACAAGCAGAGGCTTGGCATCGCTCGGACGTGTGTTTTTTCTCCCTCGGCGAGGACCACTGAGGAGCATCCTGGATCATCTTGCGACAAAACACGCACGAAACCGAAGACTGCACGGGCAGTGGCGAGTAGTAGTGCACCGGGCGCGGGGCGCAAGGATTGGCGGCAGAGCAGAGGGCAGCCGCGGAGGCGGGGGGGGGGAGGAGGCCCGCACGTCGAGTTAATCGATCGGCGGTGAGCGCGGGGGGCCTCGGGCACCGTGGCCTGGTGTGCCGAGCAAGCGCGGGAGGGGCAGACAGTCGACTGCACGTAGGAGTGACCCTTCGCCAGAGTGACATTTGGTGCCCGCTCATCGGCGTCCCCCGATCGTTGAGCTGGATGCGATGGCCTCTGCTTGCGCGCTTGGACTTGGCCACGCTGCCCCCCTTCATCCGCGCACGGAACGTCACTCTTGCCTAGGGTCACTGTTGCGTGCAGCCCAGGTATGGTTTTCCGACGAAGAGGGCACGGCCTCTCCAAGACATGCGATGTCCTGTGTTTTGACTACAGGGTCCCTGCAAGTTCCGACTCATTTCTTTCCCCGAGTTGTTTTGCTTGAAGGCCCAAGGGCCCGGCGAGGGCCCCACGACGCGAGCATCATGTCTTGCAACATCGTGGAAGAATTCGACAGAGGTCCTAGACCCCATCTTTCTGCTGCATCTTTCGAGCCAGATCGATCTGTGATGGTCCCAGAACAGGAAGCAGGGCGTAAACGCTCGCTCGCTGTGGAGCAGTCAGCGCTCGGCGACTACAGTATGTGATGTTATGCTGGGGTGTGGTCTGCGATCGGCGCCCGTTATGGCTCAGGGGGTTCTTGCGCTGAGCCCCAGGTTTGACGAGCCCCCGTCGGGGCGCGGCGGAGATCTCCGTCGAGGTCCTCGCCGCCTCCCCCAGGCGCGGGTTGCAAGCCACACCCTTTGCAAACCGCACCCTTTGGAGTCGCCGAAACGCGACAGAAACAGCCGAAACCATCCCGTTGTGATGCAGGGCTCGAGCTAAATGGTGGTCTGGTGATTTCGTGGACCGTCTTCGTTTTGATTTCGTTTCGCGGTAACGGCAGAACGAAGATAGAACGAAGGACACCTAACGCAAAAACGAAACCGAAAAGCACTGCTTAGCTCGAGCCTTGTTGCGCACCGCGCGAGCATGGTTCAGCCGCGCGCAGAGGGGGGGGGGGGGGAGGGGGATGGCTTCTTCGAAGCACCCCTGCTTCTTAGAAGGCGCGGGCCGTATCTACAGATGTAAGGGCAGCGCCTTCTCAGAAGCAGCCTCCTTCTGAGAAGCCCTCCCCCCTCCCCCCACCCCCCTCTGCGCGCCGCCAAATGGTCTGGGCTGCCCCCCGAGAGGTGCGGCCGCCCTTCTGGCACCGCTGGACGCTGGAGGCTTTGCTGCGGGCTCTGGGCCACGGGCACGTGGACGTGCTGAGGTCCACAGGCCTCCCCAAATTGGAGACCGACCCGACAGACGGGGCCTGGTGATCGCTTTCTTATTCTTTGTTTGGCCGATCGGCGCGGGCCCTCGCGCCCCCCCCATGGAGTTATGATGTTCTAGCCTACTTTAGCTTTGACCATGAGAAAGAATTTCGAGCCCCCAGAAAATAGCGACTTTCAATGGTTTTCACGTGTCGGGCCCTGAGAGACACTCGTCCGACACCGTTTCGACACTTTCCGGGCGCTCGAAATTATTTCTGGGATGTGATCTTTAAGTACGACGGGAGCAACATACCATGGAGTAGATTTTGGTTGTTTTGGGTGCCTGTTTCGAGCAGGTGGAACCTCCCCCATAATTAGGACGCACTGCTGCAAACAGTCGCACTAAGCAGAGGTCCGGATCCAGACCAACACTCCTCCCCCCCCTTCCGCCCGATGTCGAAACGCTGAATGAGAAAACGCTCACCTGAGTGGGTCCCAGAAGCGGCAGTTTTGTTTTCCCCCGCTCTCGACGCAATGTCTATGGATCATGAGAGCGGTGAAGAAATGCCTCACAGCAATGGGAACAAAAAACAGCTTCAGAATTGGACCAGGAACCGGAACCGCAAAAGCGGCGACGGAATTGGGGAAAAATGACGGCGCCAGAGCTGGCCCCAACACGGTGGAGCGGAACAGGTAACAAAAAAGGGCTTGGTCGTTTTTTCCAGGGCCCACCATGGACTGGGCCGAGGGATCGCGCCGCATCGCCACTGCACCTCTGATGCATCGGCGATGCGTCGGCGACGCCGGCGATGCATCGGCACTTCTAAGAATGCGGCCGGGCTCCTGGAAAGGCTTCTTGGGAGCTCCAGGCCTCCCCATTGGGGTCCGAGCAGATGGGGCCGACGGGTCGCGCCGCATCGGCGATGCGGCTCGATGCGGATCCCGATGTTCTCCACGTCGGTATTGGGAACCTGGCGTCTCGAGCTCTTTGCGCCGGGCGTCTTCACCCAGTTTCGGGCCCCGGGACCATCGCAGACCTGTCCGGCTCGACGAATGTAGCAGAAGGGCGGGGTCCATGGCTCTGGTCGTGATTTTTCTAGCTGTTGTATTTTTGTCGTGCTGTTGGATCTCAGGGTGCGGCTCGATGTGGAGCCCGATTTTCCCCACGCCAGCTGCGCCGACGTCAACGCAACGCCGATGCGTCGGCATCGGCGATGCATCGGCGATGCGGCGCGACCCCCCGACTCCATCTGCTCGGAGCCCAAGTGGGAGGCCTCCGTGAGGGCGGGGCTGGACGGCGGCGACTGGGAGCTGCTGGAGCATCTGCTGTCGGACCCGGGCTCGATGGAGCTCCTGGCGGCTGCCGCGGGCGGGGAGCACTGGGGCCTCGCGTCGCGGGCAGCGTCAGAGGGGATAACAGCGGAGGCCCATGCCAAGAGACACTCTGCTTGCCTCCAAGGTGCCCTGGGTTTCTTGGGTTTCGATGGTTTTGCTGTGGAAGGCGTAGCGGCTCCTACGCCAAAACCCATGGACGTTATGGGTTGGGTTTCTTGTGGAAGGTTTCTTTTGGTCGGGCCTCTACTGTAGGCTGTAGGCTCAGGGTGATGGGCCGATTTTCCACCATCACTACGACAGGTAGGAGGGGTGGAGGAGGAGAAGGAGGAGGGAGAGGAGGAGAAAGAGCACCTCTCCATCCTCCCCTCATCCCCCGTGCTACCTAATGGTGGTCGTGGTGGAAAACAGGCCCATCACAGGGAGGGGGGGGGACAGCGCGTATCGGCTGCCACTTCGCCCACTCGTGGCCGGTAGGTGCCCGATAGCCCACCCCGCCCATAGGGGCGTGCGGAGTCGCTACCGGGGACACCTCGCCAACCTACTGGCGACAGGCTCGATGTTCCCCCCCCTGCGGCGTCACCCCAGCGACGCGCGCACTGAGGAATCTTGTAGTATGCGTCGTGGCGGGCGCTTTCTGGCCACACCGCTCGGGAAACGATATACTACAAAATGCGTATATTCTATGTTCGGGTCGGACGCTCGCCTCCAAGGAGGACATACAGTATTAGTATGTCTCTGTGCGTCCCACCCTTGATCTGGTCCTCCCCTACGGTCAAGCCTCATGGGAAGGATGGGCAACCTTCCAAGGCTACCCTTGCGTCCTTGCCCCTTCGGCCCATCCTTAGCGACTTTCGCTGGCCAACCTCGTTCGAAAACACGTTAACATGGGCCTCCAAGTCCCTTGCATCCCTACCGCGCATCCTTATGATACGGGTTGACTCTAACGTTGCCCTCATCCTCGCGCAGTGGGCAAGAATGCGACGGACGGTTTTTGGGCTGTCTTCGGCCTCCCTGGTTGGAGCCGGCTGGGGGGCTGAGGTGGCCCAGCACCTGTTTGCCTGGCCAGCAGAAGGGGGGAGAGAAGTAGGCCCCCATCGTCGCCACGGCTGGACGCTGCTCGAAACACTTGTCAGATTCAACATGGGGAGGGATCTGGGGACCGATTTTGAGCGGAACTGCACTCGTCCCCCATTGTTAGCGGATTTTCTCGGGGCCCATGCAGACCCCCGGACGCTTCCAACTCCTGGGGCCCTCGCCGGGCTCCGGGACTGTCAAAAATGATTGGGGGTAAAAGTCGGGGGCCCCCAAACAGTTCGGTGACCATACCGTGTGGTGAGTCAGTGTGGATTCGGGGTCACCACACGGTTTTGGGACTCGGGTCGTTCTTCCAGGATGACCTGGGCGACTGGGGCGTTGAACGCTCCAAAGCCGTTCGGTGACGGACCATGCGGTGAGGTCGTTAGAGATGACGAGGTCACCGCACGTTCTGTCACCGCACGGCCTTGGTATCCCATTACGGGCTGGTCCAGACTTCTTCTCAACCATCTTGTGGTGTTGGGTTCTCGTTTTGAAGAGACAGTGCCCCGCGTCCCTCCCACCTCCCCCTCCTCCCTCCTCCCCCTCCTTGCCTCTGGCCTCCACATGTTTCTGTTTTTTGACACCCCTCACACGTTTCGTGGCCCCATAGGTAGCGCCACCGAAGGTCCCAGTGGCTGCGTTCGCATGTGCTCACCGCGCACATGTTTGCACAACCCTCACGTTTCGCGGCCCCATAAACGGCTCCACCGGCTGCCCCAGTGGTTACGTTCGTATGCGCCAACCGCACCCATTTTGGCACACCCCTCACACGCTTCGTGGCCCCATAGGGATCTCCATCGACGGCCCTAGTGGCTGCGTTCGCGTGCGCACACCGCACCCAGTTTGGCACACCCCTCACATGTGTCGTGGTCCCATGGACAGCTCCATTGACGGCCCCAGTGGCTGCATGCGCCCACCGCATTCATTCTGGCTCACCCCTCCCAAGTTTCGTGGCCCCAGAGGGAGCTCCACCGACGGCCCGAATGGCTGCGTTCGCATGCGCCCACCGCACACATGATTGGCACACCCCTCACACGTTTCGTGGCCCCATAGACAGCTCCACCGACGGCCCCAGTGGCTGCGTTCGCACGCGCCCACCACATCCATTTTGGCTCACCCCTCCAAGTTTCGTGGCCCAAAAGGGAGCTCCACCGACGGCCCCACTGGTTGCGTTCGAATGCGCCCACCGTACACATTTTGGCACAGCTCTCACACAGTTCGTGGCCCCTTTCGGGAGCTTCACCGACGGCCCCAGCGGCTGCGTTCGTATGCTTACACGCTTCGTGGACCCATAGACAGCTCCACCGACTGCCCCAATGGTTTCGTTCGCATGCGCTCACCGCGCCCATTTTTGGCACATTCCTCAAACGTTTCGCGGCCCCATAGGGAGTTCAACCCACGGCGCCAATGGTTGCGTTCGCATGCGCCCACCGCACCCATCTTGGCACACTCCTCACACGCTTCGTGGCACCATCGAATGTTTTACCGACGGGCCCAATCGCTTCGTTCGCATACGCCGACCGCGCCGATTTTGGCACAACCCCTCACTCGTTACGTGGCCCCATAGGGAACTCCATCGACGGCCCCAGTGGCTGCGTTCGCGTGCGCCCACCGCGCCCATTTTTGGCACACCCTCACACGCTTCGTGGCCCCATAGGCAGCTCAACCGAGTGGCTGCGTTCGCGTGCGCCCGCCGCACTCCTTTTGGTTCATCCATCAAACGTTTCGTGGCCCCCGCCGACGGCCCCAGTGGCTGTGTTCGCATGCGCCCGCCGCACCCATTTTGGCACCCTCACACGCTTCGTGGCCCATGGGGAGATCCACCGACGGCCCCAGTTGTTGCGTTCGCATGCGCCCTCCGCGCCCAGTTTGGCACACCCACACGTTTCGTGGCCCCGTGGGTAGCTCCACCGACGGCCCCAGTGGCTGTGTTTGCACGCTCGAGCGCTTCGTGGCCACATGGGGAGCTCCACCGACGGTCCCAGTGGGTGCGTTCGCATGTGCCCACCGCACACATTTTTGCACACCCCTCACACGAGTCGCGGCCCCATAGGGAGCTGATCCCACTGCCCCAGTGGTTGCGTTCGCATGCGCCCACCGCGCCCATATTCGCACAACCCATCACACGTTTCGGGAGGTTATTGCATTGACGGCCCTAGTGGCTGCGTTCGCGTGCGCCCACCGCACCCATGTTGGCACGCCCCTCGCCCGCTTCGTGGCCCTATCGCGAGCTCCTCTGAATGCGGCGCGTGCAACGACGGTGCCCACGGGAGACTTTTGGGAACCACGGTTTCCAGAGCCCACGACGTCGGAGGTCTGGGCGTGCCCACGTCCTCGCAGTCTCGGCACTGCGGCCGCGGCCCTGTGGACTCAGGGTGGCTCTGTGCGGATGCCTCGCGCATGGAACGCACCTGTGGGATCGCGAGTCCACGGGGTCGCGCCCCGGTGCCAAGACCGCGAGGGCATTGGAAAAACCAAGCGGCCTTCGGCTCATCCCGCCACCGTGCCTGGGTTGTGGGTCTGAAGCCTATTGGATGGTCGTTGGGATCTTGCGGGGGGCCTCTCGGGGGCGTCTTGGAGGCAGTTTCGAGGCCTCTTGGGGGCCGTTTTTGGGCCTCTTGTGGGCCTTTGGGGGGCCTTTTTGGAAGCCTCTTGGGGGCTTCCGTGGGGCCTCCCGGGCGCCTCTCGGCGCCTCCTAGGGATCTCTTTGGGCGGAAGGCTCGGATCTTCGGTTCGCGTTCCCTTTCTTGGCCCCCTTTTAGGGCTGTTTTGGTGCCCTCTTGGGCCGTCTTGGGATTGTTTTGCTAATCGGCGCGGGCCCTCGCCCTCCCCCCATGGAGTAGGTCTTGGTTGTTTTTGGCGTCTGTTTCAAGCAGGTGGAGTAAGCACGGGGGCCCCGCCTCCCCCGCGAGATTCCCCCACAGGATTCGCCAATCAGATTTCCCCATAGGAAGGCACTGTTTCAAACAGTCGGACTAAGCAGAGGTCCGGAGCCAGAGCCCCTCCCTTCCCCCTCTTTAGCTCAATGTCGAAAAGCCGAAAAAGAAAACGTTCACCAGCTCGATCGGCGCACGGCAGGTTCGCGTGGATATCATGGCCGGGGCCATGACATCTTCCCGAACGTCATGGCCTCCTCTTCTTGACACGTCCCCCTAGTCCCCACTGGGCGGCGCACGCGCTTCGGGCCATGAGTTGCGCCCCCCCCACCCGTGGACGCCCTCGACAAGAGTGAGAGGAGGCGGAGAAGGGGGGAGGGGAGGGGGGAGGGAGAGGGACGGGGAGGAGAAGTGTGAGGGAGGGGGGGTGAGAACGACACGACGGACGAGAGTGGAGGGTCGAAGGCGTTCGAGGTTGAGCGCCGCCAGTGGCCCAGAATGTGCCAGTACCGAACGACCCGGCGATCGAGAGCCCGCCGATCGTGCCAGGCAGAGCGACCCGCGAGGTGTTGGGAACCAGCGCCGGGGCCGTCACCACTAGGAGGCCTGGAGGTTGACACCAACGCCAATGTGGGCGGTGCGCCTCCACCGACGGGAGGTGATCCCAGTCTTCTTGAGGATGCTAGTATTCGGGCTTCCGGGCGACCGAGATAGCAGCAACACCAATCTGTAGGAGCATCTTCCCCCAGCGGAAGTAACCGCCTGTGTTGAATGTTGGTGCCACGTTTCCAGGCTTCTGAGCGACACGACCTTGCCGTAGGCCCCCCGCTCGTGAGGCTGGGCGGCTGGCGCGGCAGCTCTCGCTGAGGCTCTGCCCGGCGCCGCCCAGGGGCGCCGAGGCCACGGCCACGGCCACGCCCCCCCCCGGGCTCTTGAGAAACATTGCGCCCGGGCGAACTGCCGCCATGGTCCGACCCCCTGCTTCATTCTCCCCAAGACGTTCTAGGCCTCCCAGATGGGGTCCGAGCAGATGGGGTCGGAGGGTCGTGCCGCATCGCCGATGCACAGGCGATGCGGCTCGATGTGGAGCTCAGTTTTTGTCCACGCCGACGTCGCCAATGCATCGCCGATGTCGACGATGCATCGGCGATGTGGCGCGATCCTCCGACCCCATCTACTCCAACCCCACCGTGGAGGCCTTCGTCATTCTTCCCAAGGCATGGGATGTCTTGATCTTTTCAAGACGCCCCCCAGAAGTCCCGACCCTTTCCTCACAGCCAGTTTTTCATCCCGAGTCATTGTTTGACGGTCCTGCGGCCCAGCGAGGGCCCCCGCAGGCCCAAAGCAGCCAACATTCTCACATCGTGATTGTTTCACGCCGCGAGCATCATGTTTGGGTTCTCTCGACGCGGAATGAGCAATGTCCTTGTGTGGGGTGTCCTGACGAGGCTCGGGGATGGCCAAGGGGAGGGTGATGACAAGGGGGGAAGATCACGGCCTGCACTAGATATATTTCCTTATGTTTTCATATCCCCTCTTCTCATTTCAATCCGTCCCTTGACCCCCCCCCCAGGCCGCACATCGGCGGAAGGGGTTTCTGAATTGGTTTGGTCCCCAGAATCAGTCAAGGGGGGGATAAGAGCTATTCTGCTCCAACGCAATTCCTGGACCCCTCCCCGGGTCCATCTGGTGCAGACTTTCACTTCGGAACCGTTTTTCACAGTCCCTGGGCCTGAAAACAGCATCCAGCCATTGAAAAAGGCAAGAAACACCTTCTCGAACCCAGCATTTCGAACCTGCACCCACGTCGCCAGAACCAGTGCTGGGCCACCTCGGACCCCCAGCTGGCTGCTGGCCAGCTCAACATGTTTACCGTACATAACACAGGTGGTACCAGTTCAGGACGTACCATTGGCTCCACATTGTGGTTAAGCGATCACGTCAAGCGTTCAGGACAGCAGTTGGTTGCTCGCACAATGCCTACTGCGCCACGCTTGCCGAAGCTTGCTTGTTCGTAGCAGCCAACAGCATGTGACAGTAAATCGATCGTTGTAAAAAAAGAAACACATGTACTAATCAGGTTGCCCTCAATCGTGAGAGACATCGAGAAACTGGAGCGCCTGGCAGCGCCTGTGAGCGCCTGGGCAATGAGTTAGTTCTTACCTTCCTCAGAGCCGTCCGAGTCCTGGGGAGGAAGACGGGCTGGACCAAGGCAGCGCGCAACCCCTGTACGGCCCCATATCCCTTCCGAACTCGGCAGCTTCGAGGAGGAGGATGTATATCAAACATGAGATTATCGATGGCTTCGAGGAAGTAGAAGATACTTGGGCCGACGATTGTTGTTGTTCACCCTGTGACGTCCAGGGCCGAAGAGCCCGAATGTTTGCCATGATCAGTATGCGAGTCGCAGCGTTCTGATTTGGAGTTCGAGGAAGCGTCGGGCCGACCCAAGCGATTATGCCACCGAGGACCCTCAGGAAGGTGCCTTCATGGATGGCTTGTTCATCTTGCGTGCGTTTGTTGGTGCTGTTATTCTCTCCCTTAGTTTTTGTTCCGTAACAACTTCGGTTCAAACATTCGAACCAAGTCGGTTGGCGAACCCATTATCTTTTATGATGGGTGGCTTGCAGCTCTCGGATATTTGGGCCTTTGTTGCAGTGGGATCGCGCGTTCATCACATCAGTCATCGGTACGCGTCGTGGGTGGCCACTGCCGAGGGTTGCATCAGCGAGCATCACGCCATTGATGCACCAACGCGCTCCTGAGTTTCTGGACCTCACCAAGAGATGGAGCGGTGCATCAGTCCGAGCATATTCGTGATCAGCCTCTTCGGGATGCTCAAGCGTCATGGTGGGTTGCGTACGCACACAATCGCTCAACGAGTCGAAGGACATCGGACGAGGCGAAGTTGGACAGTACAGATCCAGCAGTTGAGCGATAGCTCCAAGAAATTCGTGTACACTGCCCTAGCAGGTATCCATGAGCTGTTTCCTCCAGGCGAGGGCGTTTGGACGGAGTGATTGGCGAAGCTGTCGTGCTTAGAACAGTTCTCTTTGGTTCAATTCACGGCTTCGCGCAATATAGTAGATCTTGGGGCCAAACTTGGACGTGCAAGGGCCACCAGTCAATCTCTTCGTGCACTGAAGGATTGGTCTGGATCCACCAGTGCACAAGGCAGGTTGCACAAGAGAGCATCAAGCATAATGTTGTTGACATGGACGAGTTTCGTTTTGAGGCCAAATACGCAGCCGACCTTGTGGAGATAGTGATGTGGTATCGGATATGGCATTCAGATTCTTTGGCATTGGGGATGTACTCAGATGCGACGACCACGTTCCGCGAGCTGGCGCTGACTGACTTGTGAGAGCCAGTGACCGTTGCAGATCTACGTACTTCCTCGGCTCGCATGAACCCAAGGGCAGGCTTAGTTTGCGACCGGTTGCCACCGATTGATTTCGAACGATTGCCGGATGTTGGGTTGGAGCAGTTCTGTCAACTATAGATTCGTTTGCCTTGGCCGTGGCAGTTCATGGTCACGGCAGGTATCGCACCAGGGAAAAACTTGATGGCGATCGAATTACTGGCCTGACTTCCGCGGCCAGCTTGTTGCGCAGTCTTGCTTGCGAGGACAAGATGCGCGCATGGGCGGTTCAGTCGGCGCCGCCTTGGGGCGGAGCAGTGCCACGGACTAGTGTTTTGAGGTAAGCATTCGTCCGAGCTGTCGACTCAGAAGACGGCGCTCGCATGGATGTGTACACGGAGAAGCATTAATTGACATTGGTTCTTGCTATGGCAGCGTCGAGTACTCGATCTTCGCCGGGACAGCGGTACGACTCCAGCTTCCATTTGTTGTATTAGTCCTTGTCATGCGAACGCTTGCGATGTCAAGGATTTTGCTGCAGTTTAATTCCGATGCTGAGCCCGGGGGAAATCATGCAAGGCATTCGAAGCGGCACGCGCTTCGGGCGTTCTTTGACACATTTGTGCTGCTGCGACTGTGCAATGCATGCCCACAGATGTCGGGGCGAATCTGGATCGGCGACCTGGCGGACAGGACCGTCGGCTCGCGCAAGCAGACCAAGGCAGATTTAATCGAATGCATCACGGACGCAGTGGTGGAGTTCAAGACGCTATCTTTTCGTCTAGATGCGAAGAGTGCGCGACATGTTCTTCGCGTTCGAATGACAAGATTACCGCGCGGTGTCTCAAGGGAAAATTGTTTCACACCACCACAGCTTTGCAGTCCGCGTATCCTGGAGTAGATATGGGCAGTGGGGCTCGGCATGCCAGGGCCACTGCGCGCCAGAGATTTGGCAGCGCGGGTCAGCAACGCACCAAGTTGCGGAGATTCGCGGCGGCAGCTCGACGGTGCAAGGTCCCGTCGCGCACCCATCGCGCGCTGCTAGAAGCTGTGGTTTCGTCATTGCACAGTGGCAGCGGGCGAGAAGTCGGTGCCGATTTGATCAGTTTGCGACGCTATATCCGCACTTAGCAAGTGCACAACCGATGGCAGCTGACCAGGCATTTTGTGGCAATTGCTGTTTGCGGAACGTAGACAAACGAGCGCAATGTTGCCGTCAACGTCGGAGTTGTCGAGATTAGCAGTCGATGCTCTTGGGCCCTCGAGTCCGACGTCCGCAGGCATCGGTTTTGTAAGTGTAGTCGTCTCGGTGAGGCGATGCGCAGTTGCGGATCATGGTGCGCGTGCTTGTTTCCGGAGTCGTGGTATCATCCCAGCTCTCTGGACAAGAGCGTTTCTTTCCAGCGCGTGCGTGGACTGGTCTAGCGGCAATCTTTTTGGGGGTCGAGCTTGTCTGGGTCGCGGAGCCATTGAGAGCCACCTGTGCGCCTTCGGAAATGCGTCTGGAGTCCTGGGCACTCGCGATGCGCATCTGCGGCGAGTCGGGCTGGCGGTGCGTACGCGTGTGCGCGTGGCTGCGCGATGTCTGGCTTCGCGCCTCTCGGCGCGTTCTTCATGGCGCCGCTGGTGGGAAGTTTTCAGACCGTGCCCAGGGGCGCGCTCACGGCCTCTGAGCTCGCCAGTCGCTGGTCGTCGGGAGTGCGGGTATTCGTAACATATAGTATGAGAGTATGTCGAGGATGGCGGTCGCAGTTGCGTCGTCGTCCAAAAGGCGCCATGCTGGTTTGCGGAGTCAGACTGGTCGTCGCCCCAATGATCAGCAGAGGTCGCCAGCAGGCGCCGTTGTTATACAGATTCCATCGCGTCTGAGTGCGTGGGAGGCGCGCAAGAAAAGGCTTCGCAGCTGGATGGTCCAATGTGATACTGTTGCGGATCGCCTCGCAGGCGGTGCAGCTGAGGCAGCTTGTGCACCTCCCGGGCCTCGTAGATGGGGTCGGAGTAGACGCGGTCGGAAGATCGCGCCGCGTCGCCGTTTCCTCGGCGATGCGGCTCCATGTGGAGCCCGGTTTGTTTCGCGCCGACGTCGCCGATGCGTCGCCGACGTCGACGGCGCGTCGCCGGCGCGTCGCCGATGCGTCGCCGATGCATCGGCGTTGCGGCGCGATCCTCACCCATCTACTCGGGCCCCATTTCGGGGGCTTCTATGCAGGCAGACGAACGACGCAACAAGGTTCGCTCATGGAAGAAAAGGCGCTCTTGGTACGTCGTCGGCCGTTGAGAGGTGGTTCGAGTTCAACCCGGGGGCGAGGCCGAGAAGAGGGTTGCGCCGATTGCATTTCTTGCGCGGCGCGCGCGGCCGCTCAGGCCCAGGAGCTGCCAGTTTTCTGCCCCCCTCCCCCCCCCCCCCCCCCCCCCCCCGCGCCTTTCATCTCTGCTCGCTTCGCGACCGCGCGCGCCCTTGATGGGAATGGTAAGTCGCGCGTTGGATGCCGCGGGTCCGCCGCGTATGCCGCGCTGTCCGATTGGGTGGAAACTGAT